TGACGTGCCCACAGAAGGGTGGCCGACATTGTCACTAAGCCCACGTCTGCAACTGCACTGTGTTCCCGTGCCCTCCTTTTCCCCTGAGTGCATGTTGGTTGAGCTGCACTATAACTCCACTCTGGCTGGCACTCTTTACCGGCACTGTGATTGGCACCGATTCCCTCCCGCGCCATGAATTCTTTGCTGATTTTCCAGGACTATCTCCAAAAAGTAACGTTTCGAGTTGCGAAGCGACAAGAACTGCGACCACAGTGGCGCAGCGCTTTCTGAAGGAGCGTCTGTGGGACAGGTACTTTGCCCAGACCGGCGAGGGCAAGAATGGGCAGACACCGGAACATGTGGTCGTTTTTCCGTCTCACGGCGGATACAACAACGTGACGCATCAACTGGATCTCTATTGGGCACTTCATGTAGGTGATCTAAAGCGAATGAAGCATTCACGCAACATGCTGGGCAAACTGTTGGACCACGAGAGTTACGCCGCGTACGTTCAAGAGCGACCCCCACTTCCCAAAGCACCGTTATTCTCACATGTAAGAGAATACAATTTGCTTTTGGCTCCTTCCGCATTTGGTGGAAGTGGAGCCAGGCTTGTCTCACGGCATTCTTTACCGTCTTGTCCTCTTCCGAGATTCAATAGTGTTGCTTCTGCTGCTTCCTCTGCTATGACGCCCATTGTTCTGGACATTAGGGACACTATCGACCACCAGTTGGCGCATCTGAAAGGATCTGTGAATTTTCCCATGAATTTTCCGGCCACTGCGTACGGCGTCAAAAAGGCAGAACTGTGGCTTCAATGTGTGCTGCAACCACTTCAGCCCATCGTTGTGATATGCAGGAATGAGGAGGAGTTTCCGCTTGTACGGAAGCGGTTGGAGTTGTTATCCCCGGGTGCACCCATTGAAACCTACACGGCAAAGGAACTAGAATCCTTTTCTAGTCCTCTTTCTGCGGCTGGTGCGGAGGTGCGAGTCCAGGGGTTTATTATAACGAAGCCTATTCCAGAATCCATTGTGTCGAGTTTTTTACCGCGCCAACTTGTGTGGGTTTCTGATTCTGCCGCATCTGCCTTTTTGCGAATTGATAACTACCAGCAGCTTCAATACCTTGAACCTTCTGAAGACACCTTGGTCCTCGACTGCCGCACTTCTTACGAGTTTAAGAACGGCTCACATAAACACAGCATTCATATTCCCCTATCAGAGTTGTGCCAGCTAACAGCTCTGGATACGATGTTATCATCATCTTCGTTAAACCGTACAAATAAACAGGAGACACCGGTGGTTGATTTTTATACTCCATCCCCACGCCTTGGCCAAAAAATTTTGGAGAAGTTGCACGAGAGTTTTATGGCCGAAAATGCCAGACGTCGTTTTTCTTTTCAGGGCATAAAAAATATTATTGTGTACTGTGCCAGTGGCTATCGCTCCATCATTGCCGGCTCGCTGCTGCGTCGGGCATTTGAAGCGGCCACAGTTCCGATTCAGGTGCGTGACGTGGTGGGGGGAGCGCTGCAGATTATGAAACAGCGGCCAGACCTCTGGACAGTCAAGGATCGCTCCATCATATGTGTCAGCTGACCTCGGTAGGCCCGTCGAGGGGAATAAAAAGAACGGATGCCAACAATGTTTTGTAGAGGGCAGCAAAGGCATCTTTCTTTATTTTCCATTTTTTCCTTGCGGGCTGAATCATTTTAAAGTCATTGTGCGATTCTCTTATGAATCCCCCCTCTTTTTGTTTTTGTTTTTAAATGAAGCTGACGGAAGAAACCCTTTGATGGTGTCCGCCAGCTGAATGTACAAGTGGCGGTGCGTTGAGGTGCCTGTCACCTTCGGATGGTGCACGCATACGCTACCGTTCACAAGGAATTTAGGAGCTTGTGAGGAGAATGATCACGGGAGAGCTGGCTAACTAAATTAATATAAATAAATAAATAAATAAATGTATGTACCCTGGTAAAGCGAATACAATTCTTTACGGCGCTTTTCTACCGTATGCATTTTTGGAAGGACACAACTATTAAGGGAGGGGGATCAGGGAACCGATGGCGGCCAGTCATTTTTTTTTGCCTTTTACTAATTTTACCATCCCGTCCACCCACTCTTTTTGAATCCCACGACGCGGCGGGGTGTTGTGGCTGGAGGACCCCAAAGTCTGCCACTTCCTACGTAATAATACGTAAATATATGTATATAAAAACATACACTTACCTGGTCTTAAGGTTTGAGGGTAATGGTGAACCCCCACTCTTATCCCATTCACCTTTTCTCTTATTCATATCTTATCTGTTTTTTATTGTTGATGAGCTCAGGATCCGGGCAGCGGTCCAGAAGATTGTTCTTTTTTTTTTTTTTTTTTGGTCGCGTGTGAGGCGCAGAGTTTTCTTGGATCCGTACTGAGCTCTGGCGGAGAGTGAATCCGAAATGCAAATTTACCCTTATACACACGCAAGCATATCAATATATATATATTTAATTAGTAAGTCGATACCACAAGATGATGTCGCATTGGAGTGGAATGCAACACATTGACTGGCGTTATTTGCCAACGTCGAGTTTTATGGATGACGCCGAGAGCAATTTTGCCTCATAGGCGATGCATCCCCGTTTATTGTGGTAAATCACAGCACGTCTTTTAGACGTTCATTAAGTGAGTTTGCGATGTTTTTTTTTTTTTTGCATGATTTTATTTTTATTCTGCTTATGTGTCTTTTCAAGTTCTCTTCCTTTTTTTTTTTTTTTTTTTTGTCTTAACAAACGGGCAAAAAAGGATGATGGAACTTCAAGCATTGATTCAGCTGGTGAGTGATTACCACCCCGGGGAAGAGAACTCGACGTCGCATTCGTCGCTTTTGAGTGCTGTGCAGCAACTTAAGGCGGCCCTGACGGACATTGAAAAGATCGGCGAAGGCATTCGTCCCCTTGTAAGGGCACTTGTTACCGCGTCTGTGCATCTCCCAGAGGAGTGGGATGATATTCTAAAAGCCCTACGTGGTGTGCTCACGAATACGGGTGTGCCGTGGCTGCATCGGGCCTTTTTACTTAAGACCCTCCCACGCATGCTCCTTGATGCACCAACGGACCGGTGGAAACAATACGGGGATGTTCTTTGCGAGGTGCTTGTACGCTCGTCTATGCCCCCACCGGGTCTGGAGGAGGGCGATGCGCAGAACACACAGGACGAGGCATCACAGCATCCCAACCCACAAGAACGGCGCGTGGCGGTGACGGCTCTTCTGAGCCTTCAAGAAGAGTGCGCTGCCGCGATTGTGGAAAGGCTGGTGACGCAACTTCCTCAAGCACTGTCAACGTGTGTGGCAATTGTGTCGAGCCCTTCCGCTCAGGACGGGCTGAAAAAGGCTTTTGAGGCTTGGCTCTGCCGTCCAACTTCGTCAGCAGATGCATCCTGCGCGATGGAAATTGAAAAGGCATTGAAGGAGCATTTTCAGGGCTACGGTGGTCCAAAGTGCGAGCAGCTTTGCGCCGCGCTCATATCAAGCGAGCCGCTAAGAAGTCTCACTGAGATTGCTGCCTTGCAGAAGGACCTGTCGGCACTGGCGGAGGTGGATGTGTCGCATCGCAACATTGTCAGCAACCGGCTTTCTTTGGCGTTTCTACTGACGAAGGCTACTGAGGTATTGGACCTCGTGTACTCATCCGAGCAGAAATGCCTAGAGAAGGGTGTAGAAGACTTTACTTTGCCGTTATCTGCCATTCAGTTGCTTGTACAGCTAACGGACACGGCATCTGTGACACCGGAGAGTTTGAGTATTCAAGAAATGCAAAGGCTTTCGGCGTGTCTCCTGGCAGTTAAAAATGCAGATGCCGCCCTGGATGCCTCTCTGCCGCTCATCGAGTGCACACTCCACCTTGTTCTTCGTGGACTGCCGTGCCTGTCAACAACAGATGAGGGCGTGAGACCTCTGCTGAATGATCTCCTTGGCGTCACAAGCACGTTGCTGCCCGTTGTGGAGGACGCTGTGCTGAAGATCCACTCCGCTGTTCCTCTTCTATGTGATCAGCAGCACGCCATTAATACCAAGGCAGTTGCAGATGACGTGGAGGGCTCAGTGCAGACGGCACAAACCACATTTAGAGCACTGCGGGTGGCCCAAACGGTTGTGCAGTTGTGCCGTATTTTTAGGAAAAAAATACAAAACTATGAAGAGAAGCAGCGCGAGGGCGAATACCCACGTCATAATCTTGAGGAGCTCGCTGCAGCGGTGCGCGGTATTACCCCGTCATGGAGAAGAGAGAAGAAAAAAATACAACGTTTACCGGTATTAACAAACCCACAGTCACGTCGGGGGATTGCGCACGCTGCGGGAAACAAAAAAGAAACGCATCATTCATACAAACAACCACGTCATGTCGATGGGGGCGGCGTGCATCCCCCCTCACGGCGGCACCGCCGTGACAAACCTCTGCTGTAGCGTTGCATTAAGCGGAGCGTGACGTATGAGGGCGTTTAAGGAAAGCAAATTATATATACATGCAGAGAGGCCTTTTTTTTTTCACTTACACTCCCACACACTCTTCATTCTATTCATTTTTAGGCCTGCGGGTGGGAACAAGAAAGAAGGCAAGGAAGGAAGGAGAACGGAGAAGGGGAAGGGGAAAAGAAACACTGATGAGACTTACCAGATGGAGAAAAGAGAGTTGTTGTGCGAAGCCGCACCAGAAGAAAAACGGAGGAAAATAACATCCTTTTGCCCAACTCTTATTTTGTGAGCCGCGCTTGACGCATAATGCTTCTACTCTACCGCTCTTTGTTTGCTTGGTTAGTCTGGGGGATTTTTTTTTCCCTTATTGCCTTGCTCGTTTGGTGTGGGGGAGAGGGCGCGTGGGAGGGGGGGGGGGGGGGGTTGAGGCAAAACAGCAGGAACAAAAAGAAAGGGTGCATCTTAATTCAGGCAAATACAAGGATAAAACAATTGAGAGGAGAATTGAGTAAGTGAGCGGTGGCCAAACGCGGAGAGTCTTTGCTGCATCCAAAGCGTTTCTTCTTTCACTTCTCCTTCTAGCGCCCCTGGGTGGAACGCCCACACACACAAACATATACATATATATATCTTTTCTTCTTTTCTTTCCCTTCGCTTACGTACTACCATCACTTTTCTTCTGCTTATACTTCCCAACCAACGGGTTCGCTTGTATATAAGATATACGCTTTGGTGAATTCAGTCAATGTGGCGACGGACGCGAGTCATACTGCAAGTTGTCTCGGCTGCCGTAAGCAAGGGAACGACACAAACAACCGAGATAACCGCCACCACCACCACAGTTACCTCATCGGCAGAATCCAAAGCACGCTGCCGTGAGGCGCGGATGAGCTTGCAGGGGCTTCGTGTTGCAGCCTACTTTGAGAACTCTGAAACGGCTAGCACAGATGAGCCGATTGCTATAGGCCAAATAACAGCTCAGATTTCGGAATCGGTGTACGCCGTTTTCTTCAAGGAAATAGCCTTATCACCCGTCATCGAGGTTGGATCACGGGTGTACGTCACTTACAGTAAAGATACGGTTCTTGCCCTGGAATCTGCAAATCCACATCAGATCAGCACCGTAACCTCCTTGAACACGGCGGAGGGGGCAGATAAAAATCCAGCAGCAAAAACAACAAGCACTGCATTAGAGTTAGACCGCGATACATCAAGGATGCACGACGCAACTTCGGCAAGTAAAACGCAAACCACAGTGGCATCAGAAGTGATCGCATCATCTGTTGCAACCAATGCTTCTGTGGAACTCGCCACTGCCCGCCCTGCGAGCACACAAGGCGCGGGGGCAATAATTGGCGGTCTGGTGGCCAAAGTCAATGGGAATGGTACCTTTGCGGTGCTTTTGGATAATGACCGCTTTGATCCCGCCGTGCCACGTGAGATGATCACTCTGTCTGAAGGCCGTTCAAAGTTCATCTCGAACGAGAAGTTTCAGGAGGTGCTGGAGTGGGTCAAATCCGCTGGAGTGGACCGTCGCTCCGACCAGGAGAGCACCTCGTGCATCCTTTTTCACCGGGGCTGGAGAGCGGACAAGTTGTACCTGCTGGATGGCGCTGACGTGCACTGTCTCTCACACCTCAACAAGTCTGTGCGCATGAGCGTACTGGAGAAGTCGGAGTGGGAGCGTGACCAGCACCGGCAGAAGCGCGAGCAAATCAAGGAGCGCATGAAAGAGAAGGAGATGCGGTATGTCCTCACCAAGTACAGTGGCGTCTTCAGTGCCTGCGTGGCCGTACTGGGTGTCGTGTCTGTGTTTGGTTGGAATTTTAAAAATTACAAAAAACAGCAGCGCTCCTATCAGTTGGCCATTGCGGCAAGTGCGCTCTCCCAACCGCACAGCAAACGGCCGATAAGAGACTATGTGCACCGCGAAGATGAGGAGCAGCGCCTGCGCCAGACCCTAAGACAGCAGGATCTTTCCCACCCGCGCATTCTCGTCTTTGCTGGGTTTTATGGCTGCGGAAAAAGCATTCTGTTTCGCTCTGCGATTCGCAAGGAAAAGATGGCGGCTGTCTTTGTTGACATTCGTCCAAACGAGGACCCTCTCCGCTCCATCGTGAAATCCTTGAACGTGCAGAATATCGACGCCTGTGGCGATCTTCTCAACTTCATTGGAGAGGCCTCGGATCGCGCAAGGAAGGCAATGCATGGCGTCACCCCACTGTTCGTGCTCAAGATTCGTGACGGCAGCTCGCTACTTCGCATCTACAACGAAGTTGTGGCATTGGCGTGCGATCGACGACTCTGCCACGTCATCATCGAGGTGCCCATTGAATCTCTCACCATCGCGATGACGGCCCTTCCACGCCTCGACTTCCACCTCGTCCCCAACTTCTCCGTCTCGGAGGCCTTCCGCTACACACACCACCTAATCGACCCGCTCGAGCTAACACACTTCGTTGAGGTGGTCGGGACAAACAGCAACGACCTCGATGAACTCCTCGCCGCTGTCCGCCACGCACACATGTCTGCCACTACATACACCAACCAGAAGCTTGTCAAGGCCATGAGGCAGCTACAGGCAGCGTGGGCAAAGGATCCCTCCCTTCGCGAGGCAGTCATAAAGTTGGCACGCTTTCCGTTTGAAGAAGGACAGAGCGAGGGATACGACTACTCCAGCCTACGCAACGAGGCTCTTCGAGAAATAGTCATGTACAATGCAGTTGCGGATGTCTGGATGTTCCAACAGAAGGTGTTTCACACAGCGGCTTGCTGTTGGCAGTAGCCAGCCATGTGTGCAGCCCGAAGGTGTCTTGTTGTTTTGTTGGCCCCTGTGCGTGCGGAGGTGACTGTCGCATGGACGTCCCACGGACACTGCTCTCACTGACAGCTTTCTTTCCCCTGCTTTCAACCCTAGCTCTCACGTAGGAAGCAATGAGCAAACTTGGCGCGATTCTCTACGGTGTGGTGGGCTTCCTTGCCTTCCTGTTCGTGCTGGTTGGGACGCCGATAGACCAGTTCCGCGCGAAAGAGAAGGGAGCCACTGGCAACACTCCGTGCATGACGTTGTGGGGAATTAAGGAAGACTGCCACAGCACGAAGTATGAATTCACCGTTGGGGAAGATTTTCGTGAATGCCCCTCAGTCTTGAGGCTGTTCAGGATGGCCGAGGCGTTCTCCATTATTTCCATTTTGTTGCTGCTTGCTGCCACCGCACTTGGCGTGGCGGCACACTTCTGCCTAAAATCTCTCAAGATCTTTGCGACCCTGCTGTTGGTGGTCAGCATTGTGACGGTTGGGCTCGTTTGGATACCCATGGCCTACTTTTACAACCATGACGTGGACAATTGCCTTGGAACACCGCTCAAAACATATTTGAAATACGGTGGTGGCTTTGTCATCATTGTGATTGGATGGTGCCTGATATTTGTCGCCGTCGTGCTTCTGCGTATGCTATAGCGGGTGCATCCACCGTCTGCATGCGCCGCTGGAGACCAACAAGCGTATTCTGCTCTACTATGCCCCGTGCCATGCAGCTTTGTGGATGACCTCCCTGCAATACTTGATTGGGTTACTTTCCTTGGTTTTATTTTTTTAATTTGTTGTTGTTTTTGTGGCTGCGTCCAATCACCCTGTGTTACCCAGTGCTGTTAGAGGTGGAGCGGGTGCTATAATGACATGCGTGCATCTGCTGCCCCTCTGTGTGTGTGGGCGAACGCTTGTTCCCCGGCCCAGGGAGAAATGAATAGATGATAAGCAGGCAGGAAGAAACGGAAGGAGGAAGAGAATTACGTTGTGTACTCTGACGAGGGTCTCCACGAGGGACCCGCGTCGCCGTCTGTTTGTGATGGGACGTTTTTTATTTTTATTTTCTACAGGTTGAATGCGCGGTGATGGGCGATTTTGTGCGTGTTTGCCCGTCTGCGCGTTTGTGTTTACTGCTCGCTCCCTTCTTCCCGTCGGTCCACAATTTGCCTCTGTTGGCGTCACGCGATGAATTTTGGTTGTGTCCTTCGGTGCTGCCTTTTTTGTTTTTGTGCTAGCGTTTTTTTTTTTTGTTTCTGTGTGAGCGGCACTGCTGAGAGAAGCGTCCTGGCGTATTTCTGTGTCGTGCGTGTCGTGCGCGGTGTGCCGCTTTGCTCACTTTGCTGGCTTGTTTCTGAGTGCTGTGCAGTTTCTGCATCTTCTTTTCCTTTTTTTTGCATTGCCTGTTTTTGTGTGCTGCTCCCCTGCTTCGGAGGGTCTGCCGCTGCCCGCCCTGCGAGCACACAAGGCGCGGGGGCAATAATTGGCGGTCTGGTGGCCAAAGTCAATGGGAATGGTGCCCTTGCGGTGCTTTTGGATAATGACCGCTTTGATCCCGCCGTGCCACGTGAGATGATCACTCTGTCTGAGGGCCGTTCAAAGTTCATCTCGAACGAGAAGTTTCAGGAGGTGCTGGAGTGGGTCAAATCCGCTGGAGTGGACCGTCGCTCCGACCAGGAGAGCACCTCGTGCATCCTTTTTCACCGGGGCTGGAGAGCGGACAAGTTGTACCTGCTGGATGGCGCTGACGTGCACTGTCTCTCACACCTCAACAAGTCTGTGCGCATGAGCGTACTGGAGAAGTCGGAGTGGGAGCGTGACCAGCACCGGCAGAAGCGCGAGCAAATCAAGGAGCGCATGAAAGAGAAGGAGATGCGGTATGTCCTCACCAAGTACAGTGGCGTCTTCAGTGCCTGCGTGGCCGTACTGGGTGTCGTGTCTGTGTTTGGTTGGAATTTTAAAAATTACAAAAAACAGCAGCGCTCCTATCAGTTGGCCATTGCGGCAAGTGCGCTCTCCCAACCGCACAGCAAACGGCCAATAAAAGACTATGTGCACCGCGAAGATGAGGAGCAGCGCCTGCGCCAGACCCTAAGACAGCAGGATCTTTTCCACCCGCGCATTCTCGTCTTTGCTGGGTTTTATGGCTGCGGAAAAAGCATTCTGTTTCGCTCTGCGATTCGCAAGGAAAAGATGGCGGCTGTCTTTGTTGACATTCGTCCAAACGAGGACCCTCTCCGCTCCATCGTGAAATCCTTGAACGTGCAGAATATTGACGCCTGTGGCGATCTTCTCAACTTCATTGGAGAGGCCTCGGATCGCGCAAGGAAGGCAATGCATGGCGTCACCCCACTGTTCGTGCTCAAGATTCGTGACGGCAGCTCGCTACTTCGCATCTACAACGAAGTTGTGGCATTGGCGTGCGATCGACGACTCTGCCACGTCATCATCGAGGTGCCCATTGAATCTCTCACCATCGCGATGACGGCCCTTCCACGCCTCGACTTCCACCTCGTCCCCAACTTCTCCGTCTCGGAGGCCTTCCGCTACACACACCACCTAATCGACCCGCTCGAGCTAACACACTTCG